CCTCGTCTTGATGCTCTAAAATAGTTACAAGGCGTTCACGTACAAACAATTCGAAACTAGGCTATTACAAAACTCGCGAAAGATACCGTGGAAATTTGCTGCTTTTATTTTCAAAATGATAAGGCGACTCTTTACCCAATGTTGCATAACTCGAACAATATAACAATTTTGCATATCCTTGACCTGCAAATAATATAAGGTATTAGAGTTAGTATATTGATGGCGGCTAAACTTGTTTTAACATAAAAACCCAGAGATATTATTTCACGGTTCACTTACTGAAACTTTAATTTTCTCAGCTACAGAAATTAGATATGACAATGTTATTTTGAGAAAGTTGTGTTAATCTGAGTTTGCGATGTAAACTATTAGTATCTGATCATTGAGAAATGAATGCACGTTACGCTAAAAGCTCTGATTGCCTTACTAATTGATGTTTAACTTTACACCCACTTCGGGAAAATAGAAAGCAAATACTATACTGCATTAAAACACATTTTAAAGTAGATTATAAGAGCACATTCAACCATGATTATTTAGTTTTTTCGTTAATGGACTCAGTGACAAGATAAACTTTCAAAATTATCTTCTTCATAAATCCTGCTGCTATATATGCAGAAAATCTTTCGAGCAGCTTTCCACGAATGCATGGCTAGCGCTGTGCATTCCGGCTGTGAAAAACCGGCTGTGTAGCTACCACGTTGTTCTAAAAACCTTCACTGTCGTCGTTTGTTTTTAAATGTTTGTATTAAGCACATTTAGCACCAATTAGCACCAAACCAACAACAATTAAGTTTTCAAAATATTTATAACACCTGCATTTTAAACGTCGCTCCGCGGCAACTTACAAAAGCACAGCGGTGATGTCAGTAATTTTCCACCTTGGAAAATTCCGATCACCCAGCTTCACATTACATATCGTGCTTTTTCTGTTGGAAGCATGGAAGCATGGAAGCAAGGAAGCAAGGAATTAATGAATGAATCTAGAGGTTTTTGAAACGCTTCTGCCCAGAAAGTTCCATTTTAATCATTATTATAACCCGTCACGAAAACGGAGCTTTTCGAAAACACTCTTCAAACCAGGAAATTTGAAAACGCCGACTTTTCGTTTTCGTGTGGACGGAAAACATTCTGAAAACGGAACTTTTCGAAAACG